TCTGCAAGAAGAAAGCCATATACACCTAGGATGACTTGAGGGTGAGTAATTTATGGGCTAATTTAAATGTTTGGGTTATCTAACCCTTTAAGCTTTAAAAAGTTTCATCCAGGTCGCCAGTAGCAAACAATGGAGCGCGCTCTGCTGGACAAACTAAGTAATTACACCACTTCAAGCATTTTATCTGCGTTATATGCTCTGTATAAAAAATTTTCATATCGGCGGCATATTCGCTGATACCGATATATCAGCGACAGGCTCATATCGGCCGATAATATCGGCTCAGAAGTGCATTGCATGCATGCATTCCTCACCTTGTTGCAGTTGAATGACAAATGAAAACAATGTGTGGTTCAAAATTGGCTGAAAATATCAAACATGTTTGATCTCCTCCAACTGGATGGAATCAAAATCTGAAGCTAAAAAATCATAACCATCATACACTATGCAATTTTCTGTGAAATCTGTCAACTCAAATCTGCAGACTGGGTCTGACTTTCAGCAATTATTGCGTGAACTTCTCCAGACTGTAAATCGGGGTAAAAGTTGTGTAGTGTATTCCAGCCTTTAGAGTGACATTACATGCTGCTTTGAACATCTAAGATCCGATCCCATTGCGATGATGATGATGTGGTGTTTTCCAACGTCATTTGTAATCGTTGGGAAGTTCAACCAATAGAAACTGGATCTCAGGTATGATGGATGGGACGATGACTAAAGACCAATCTTTAGTCTGGGACTGTTTTACAGCGGGAGCACGCTTGGATTGGATTGATCGCTTATATTGACGGCTCTTCAACAGGCAACAGAATAGAAGCGCAAAACTCAAGATCAGTGCTCATCCACCAGGATTTTTTTTTTTTTTTTTTTTTTTTACTTGTTCACACAAACAAGTTGTTTGTATGTTCATGTATTTGAGCAATTATTATAATGTATGCAGGATTTTTCTTCTTTCCTCATTTGATTGGGCAGGCCAGCCGTCAATCTGAGTGGGCCAGTGCCACCCTGGCCCTTATGTAGCTTCGCCACTGGGACACGCTGTAGGCTACTTCAGTCCCTCAAAGACTCGTTTGTATTCCTGTCAAAAATTTAATATTGTGCTACCCTAACTAAGGTCTATAGACAGCAATACAACAACACCAAAAGTTTTAACAAGAGGCAGGTTTGAATTTTAAATTCGCGGTTTTGGCGCGTGGTGTTTTATTGGTCTTCGCCCAGCCAATGAATTAATTGGTGGGCTCCCGCGTGCTGGCGCTCGATATTGCTGCTTCGCGGAGATGGTCCTCACTGCAGAACACAAGATCCAGGGGGCGTGGTTGGATCCACATCTAGGGGTTGGAGATGGGTATGGTTTAGGTATATGTAAGGTGGGAGGAGTTGGCTCTGTATCCACGCCCCCTGGATCTTGTGTTCTGCAGTGAGGGGCTACGCTGGCTGTGGTCCATGCAAGTTGATTTTTCCAAGTAATGTGATCCAGAAACAAAGAAGCAATCAGAAACGTCTATACTCGGCTTAATTCCTTTTATCAGCTTAACTTGCGAGGTATATCCCTTACTACATGTTAAACAATCAAGAGTGGAGAAGAGACGACATGTGTGCCACTGACGCTGTAGTCTGCCTCATCTCAGACAGAAATCACAATGCTTTCAGTTCAAACATGTATTAAGTGATTAATCTCTGCTCTTACCCGACCTGCGAGTTTGCACTCAGCCCCTGCGAATGATATGACCTGTTTTCTGCCGATGGCCTTATCGTCCAGGCGATATGGCAACCCATTTCATATTGATGTGATATTTGAGTTTTCTTTGTATGTGCACATGCTGTAAATTCAGTTCTTGATGACAGCACGCCTGACTAATGATGTTACACGCTCGTTATTCCCTAAACCAGCGCACAAACACGCCTCTATCTCCGGAAGAGAAAGAACTGAAGAATAAAACATAAATCTATGCAAACAGTGTACTTCTCTTACCTTCCCGAAGTGTGCTGCCCAATGAATGGGGGTCCAGCCGTAAAACGAGTCCTCGGTAGACAGGTCCGCCTGGTTGGTGGAGCGCTGAAGCAGCGAGCATAGCTCGCCAACGTCTCCATCCCTGCACGCACGATGAAGCGGGTAACGTATGTTCAGCACCTCGTCGTTGGAGAAACCGAGCTCCAGTCCTACAGACATGGTCAAACAGTTCTGCTGCGTCGTTGAAAACTCAAATTATTTGGCTTATGAACGCCCCAGGGTGAGCATGGCGATGCGTGCTCAGATAACACCTACCAGACACACACAAAGGACGCAGACAGTACACTGTAGTGATGTCCGGTTCGCGAACGAATCGTTCGATTTAACCGGTTCTTCTTAGTGAACCGGTTGAACCAGTTCACCAAATCTGACTGAATCATTTGAAACGGTTCGCGTCTCCAGTAAGCATTAATCCACAAATTACTTAAGTTATTCACTTTTTTAACATGGCTGACACTCCCTCTGAGTCGAAATAAACCAATATCCCGGAGTAATTTATTTACTCAAACAGTACACTGACTGAACTGCTGTGAAGAGAGAACTGAAGATGAACACGAGCAGAGCAGCCGGATAACGAACGTACACGCCCACTGCTGGAGCGGTTCTCGTTCTCGAGTCAAGAACCGGTTGCATCGGTTTTCGGATCACCAGTATACTGAACCTAGAACCGTTTCTTTCGGACACGTCCGATTTGAGAACCGATGAGCTGATGATACTGCGCATGCGTGTAATTTTTCAAGAGGACGAAAAGCATGCTATCCAAGTATTTTGTTAACAATCAGATAGTGTGATATAAATATATTTTATTTTACTTTTTTAAACAAGATGAATGTATCTAATCTGTGTACTTTGTTCAGTTGAAGATTACTTAATTACAAATAAACCGTAATGGATTATACATAGTAAGTGGAGCATAGTTTCTGCGCTGATGAAGACTAATTTATTGACGTCATAACTGTAAAACATCCTAGTTTGCAGATCACTGCCTGTATATGTGTTGATGCTTTAGATACAAAAATCCAAATTGTAAGAAACGTATCAGATTATAATGATGTTTTAATTGACTGATGTTATGATTACTGACTTTATATTTGAATGTGTTAAGCCCGCGATAGACTTAACGCCATTACGTCATCGCCAATTACGTCATTACGTCGAGCGTAAAATAACCGGTGAACCGGTTTTTTCAACCGGTTTATTGAATCGAACTGTCCGAAAGAACCGGTTCGCGGAAAAGAACCGAACTTCCCATCACTAGTACACTGCAAGCGAGCGCTCACTCTCTCGAAGTGTAACTTGAGTGGCTATTTGGAAATCCCGGACTGGAGGACTTTGGGGCTGGGGAGCAGGTTTAGCCTAGACCAGAGCATGTGAGCGAAGCGGAGGGGTGTGACGCTCCGCTACATTTTCCGCTCTATGGACGTGCGCTCCACTCAGTCGCTCTAACCGCCCAAGCAAGCGCTCCGTTAATATTCCGCTCACGCTCGCCGTAAACCAATTCCCGCTCAGATCCCGCTCCGTTCTGTAAAGAACAAATTTGCGTGCATTATATTAGATTATAAATTACTGCTGCCTATATCTAGCCTACATTCTGTAGGACTACCTATTGGT